CACATTATAATCCTTCCACGGCTGAAAGGGCGAGCATGTTTGGTGGGACGGGGATCCGAACCCGCGACCCCCAGATTGCGAGTGCCCTAACCACCTGTCCATGCCGGGCCAAAATCAAATGAAACCAACTCTACGTTTCTTTTTTTAAAGTAAGATTATATTACACTTGAGGTATAACAAAAATGTTTAAGATTCTAAATAACGTATTTCATTACAAATAATTTAATCATTTTATTTACTGCTTGTAAGTGCATAAAATATTGACCTTTAGTAACTCCAAGATGTGAAATTTTCAGTTAAATTTCACTCTCTCCCATCCCGTGTTCATACAATTTTTAACTCATTCTTGTAGATATTTCTCTAATCCATTTTCATCACCATAAGTGATTTAACTGTTTAACATTTTGGGCCACAACTTTTCACTACCAATAAAGATTCAACATCACACAGTTTATGTTTCTTACGTTATCATTATTTTAATTTAAAGTTTAGTATTTATCCTCTCAGTTAGTAATCAAGTATGAAACCGATGTTGTGACATTGGTTGGTGATATGTAATTTATTTATTGTAGTAGCATCTTTACTATGTTTGATACGTATAAATCGAAAAGATACGTTTTAATAAGATTTATATTGACCTTTGACTTCTTGTGTATTTTTATAACTTTGATGTATGTGTATCAAAACGAAATTAAACATCTTAATTAATATTAGCGTAATTAATAAGAATACTCACATTACATTTTTTACGCAATAGACTGGATACTCTTTGGGTTTCTAACACAGTATCATGTTTCTTTTGTGTGTTTTTATTAATTATCGTATAACAAGTAAGAAAAATGTTTCATTTTCCTTCAAAGAATGGAGAAAAGCTGGAGTAACGGTAATGTATTTTGGTGTTAATTTCATTCAAAAATATATTTTGAAAAGACGGAAATTTTTTCAGACATCTCAATTGAAAACAGTGAAGACATTTAACAACTCAGTTCTAGTAAAATGTTGATTTTTAGTCGTATGTTTGAAACTTATGGTACTTTATCAATCTATACAAGGAAATGTCGATTTCTGTTTAGTGTTTTTGTTTGGTCTTACTTCAAAAACAAATAAAATGTAAAGCAGAAACCTTATTATATAACCATTTATTTTCATAATATTAACAAATTTGGAAAAATAACAGAAGCATCAAAACATCAATCTATGTTAAAAAATGAATATCAGCAAAAAATGAAAAATATTAATTCATAAATATACTTATAATATATATCGCTCTGTACTTGACTTTATATTTTTTTTTATTATACTTGTTTTTTTTCTTTTTATTAGCTATATTTTTGTGCGCCAGCAATACCAAACGTGAGATGCTCGTATACCGGTTTGATTTTATTACTCAACAGGATCTCTACCAACCTACCTCCAAATCTAATTATATGCCCAAAGTAGTGCATCGTAAGTTTGTACATATATATATATACTAGTATCCTTTTCGGTACAAGAAAGGAATCATTGAGTCCCCAGACGGAAGATTTCTATGAAAGAATTAGAACGATAAGGTTCGTCATTTTTTCTGTACCCTTGTCTGGAAAAATCACTTAGTTACTTAGATGAAAATTTGTTGAAATAGTGAAATTTTGATTCACTCCATAAACACGAATATAGTGATTTAGGTAGCTTTATAAGTGCAATAAGCTTTAATTTTGCTCAACCAATACTATGAAATATGGACGCCATTTTGTTTCATCACGAGGATTACCGGTGTCATTCTACATAAAATGACCAAATAATTACTATTCTGACTGTTTGCTATGGATTGTTTCAGTCTATTTAAAAGTCTTAACCAGACCACCGTGACCCGTTGGGTCAACCACTATTCAGAGGTTATGAAGAATTCAAGTTTTATTTTGAGATAATTTAATTAAATATTTCAATCCATTCGTGTTATTCATAATTGAAGAAAAGATATTTGATTGTTGATCGGGAGTAAAAGGAAAAACCATTTCATTTTTCAAAAAAGTGAAGTTAGAAGTTTCGTAAAGAGCGCGAACGGTAGTGTG